CCTCCCCGTCGACAAGTGTTATCCAAAGTCGACCTATACGTCACTTTGTTTTTCCTCACCAGCTATCTCCCTCGGCGGTGCACCGCCATAATCACTCTAAGCTCCTGACTGACATCCCGACGCGAGTGGTGGTGCGGTGCATGACGTTTAAGTGTTTGTGTTTGTGTGTGTGTGTGTGTGTGTGTGTGTGTGTGTGTGTAGGGAAGAGGATGGAACAAGAATGAGAGAGGAGAGATCGCGCGTGTAGTGCATGTTTTTATCGCGAGCAGTGGCGTTGATCTCCCCCCCCCCAAATGGAGTGATCTAACTGATGCCGACACACGGCGGCTTGCGGAGATTGTCCCCAACCAGGTATCTTCCACCAGAGTGGCACCGCCCCACCCGGGCCAAGCTCTAAAGTTCCCGACCGGTCTCCTAACAAGTGTGGTTGTGTAGTGCATGTGATTGTGTGTGTAAGTAAGGGTAGAACAAGGAATAAAAGGAAAGATCGCGCGCGGTCCGTGGCTTGTTTGATAGGGATCGCTCCGGCAATCGAATGGCATTGACCAGAAAAATCACAGATCAGAGAAGACGGAATTCTCCTCCAGATAGAACTTTTGATTCAGATGTGTTGTTATCGTCAAAAACTCGCCATCAAATTCCTGTGATCTCGAGGGATCACTTTTCCTTCACATTCAACGTTCTAGCTGCCAAAACAAATTGAATGTCACAAAAATAAAAATAAATAATTTCACAGATACTTTTTGAGCTTTATTCTTCCTTTTGTATAGCCCTTATCTCTTGCGATATTGAGCGAGTCATGAGAACAAAGTTTTTGCCTTTTGTCAACGCCACTACAATAGTTGGACGGAGTACTGTAATTACATGATTTAGAAACAATGCAATATAACCAAGCGTTTGATAAATATATTTGTCTTAGTAAATATTGATATTATTTTCATAATTGACAGAAAAGGTTCATAATAACTGCTAGTCTTTATATTTGCTTTTATAAAATTATCATAGAAATGAGAAATATTTATAGGATTGTTCACATACAATTTTTGAATTCGAAAAGCACAGAATTAACGAAGGCATTTCACTGTTCTATGAGTCGTACATAGATTGTCAGGTAACAAAGGCAGTGCGGCAGCACAGGCAACTAGTGGGTTAAGGAAATCTTAAGATCCTCCAATTCCACACTGCGTTCGTCACTCTAAATAATCCCGACATTAAATATCTATTACAGTAACATCCAATTTGCTTCATAATAAAAATTTTGCGTATAAACCCCCTTGACCTTAACTATAACTAAAGAAAAAACCTATTCCTTCAACATAGTTTTATGTTTCGCATTTCATGCCTGAATAAAATATTTGTCAACGAAAATACAGGAGGCATTGACTGCGTTATCTAAAAATGAACGCTAATATATTTTTCAAGGCGTTAAAAAATATTTTTTGCACTGTCCTTCAACTTGCCTGTCTTATTGCAGTTCGTTCACAATCAAGCCCCAACATCATTATCAGACATTGTAAAACGCCACCTTTATTCCCAGTTTGTGCGCCTATTAGTGACCGTTACGCGGCATCAATATGTCTTGTAATAGTCGCTCTGAATTTCGGTAATACAATTTTCCCTTCATTTACTAACGTTCTTGGGGACATTGAAATGCACTCTCTTTGTAGGTACTACAATAAATGTGATTCTCTATAACAACTCTCCCAAAATTACGTTCTTGGTACTAAGGCAAGTAATGTGATTTAATTTGAGAAAGGGACACAATTAAAATGCATTACAACATGCTTTAACATGCAAGCTTTAACAACTCTGCTTTAAAACATGTCTTAATTCTGAAATGAAGCATACTCTGCATTAATTACAACACAAATTTTCTAATAAAATAATTTTTAACAAAAAACACTACTATTAAAACACTTCCCTGTAACCATTATCTTATGACTTCTACCTTTTTATCCTTTGCCCTATTCCTTCATCACTGATACCAATTGCACTATTAAAGCAGCTCATTTTACGGCCAGTCAATGGGTTTGGGTTCACTGTCGTTAGACTAGGTATCCAATAAAAAGATAGCGTTTCTCGTTTCACCACAATGCTTCATACCACGAATAAACTGCATGTCATTGCTCAGTTGTACATATTAGCTGTTACAATGAGCATTCATTGAATACAATTTTGCTTGAAAATTCATATTGTCTACTTGATCAAATATTTACAATATACAAATCACTAGATATTAACATCCAGACAATAATCAGCGCTAACAACTGCATTATGACTGTTACGTGTGTAATATTACTGTTCTATCATGGTAGGTGTAAAACTCCAAATTACGCATTTTTTACAAGTTTTGGCATCCGCCGGAATTATTCCCATAATTTTTCTATATTTTTTGGTTCTTCAAATTAATTGCTTTCTAGAATTTTAATAAGTTGTCAGTACTTTTTTAATAGTCAAAAATACTGTTGATTATTTCATTGCACTTTTTAATTATTTTTAGTTCTTGTGTTTCTTTTATTTGAATTCGGAGAAAAGGAAGCAACAGAATATCATTTTGGTGTTTTATTTACGTCAAAATGAGTGGAAATACTACTAGAAGTTGAAATCGTACGCTTGTGGCAAACGAACAAAAGAAACAAAGACTTCACACTCAGGCCACGTAAGAACCGTATGGTGTACGATTGGAAAGAGATACGTGCCAAGTTGCTGAATTGCTTTTTAAACAACTTCGCCTTTAAGGCATTCGAAACTTCTGAGAACTCGAGCTCTATATAAACAAGAATAATATAGTTTCTTAGACACATGAAATGTGTGAAAACTATAATGTTGAAAAATTACTGTAAAACATTATTTCTGAGTCCTCAAAACTGAAGAAATTTAGAAATCACCTCAATCTTCCTAATGAACTAGAGGAATGTTTGAATAATAAAATAGTTTGTATGAGAACCTTACAAGTTTTAATCAGTATTGGATTTTACAATTTCATTTTAAGACAGCTTACAAAGGCATTATAATTGTTACAATACATTAAAGACAGCATTAACATAATTGTATTACTTTCAAATGTTAATATTAATAAAATGTAATAGCAGACAAATCACTGATGACCTCGATGTCCAAAAATCGATTTAAAATAAAGTAACCTAAACAAATTAAATGTGTGCCTGGAATAAAACATTGAAATTTGTACAACCAATACACGATTCGAATAAGTATTTTATTACTCGAGGCGAACATTTCTGTTTTTTAAATGTTTCTAACGAAGCATTTTTGGAACCCTCACTAGTGCACTTTTGCTGAGCACTGCTAGTTATGATATAAGTTGAACCGGGAGTGTATGGCCGTAGTTTGTTAGTAATACTACAAAATCAAACCTGCAGTGTGTTTACCGATGTACCTGAGTTTTATATAAGTGAGAGCGGAATAGTCGGTTTTATGTCATTAACCTCTATTTATTTGCCCTTTTATTTAACATTCAACTAGGTGTATTAAACAGGAAAGACATTCTGAAGCTCAAGAAAATATGCGAAAATTATACTTTTTCCCCATTCTTCACATTCCTTTTTTTTAGAGAAAATCACGGCAAAGATTCTGAAATGAAGTTACTTTAAAACATAGGTGTTGTGGTAAGATATCTTTGGCATTTTTAAAATAATTAAAGATGTTGTCATTGCCAACAATGTTGTTTAATTCAATAGCAGCTTTCGTAGTCGTTTTGTGGCTTCCATCTAGCAGACAACTGATGATGATGGCTAAGCCATCGAAAGCTGCTATTGAATTAAAAAACATTGTTGGCAATGACAACATCTTTAATTACTTTAAAACAACCGGAAAGTTGAAAAGGAAGGGCAGTAAGACGGACTTTATTACCGAATATCATTGTAGAGAAAGATAAATAAATTTCCGTCCTTACTTCAAGATCTTTATTTTAATTAGACTATCATAATCATACTAGAAATTGATTTTACCGCACATAAGAAACTTATACTTCAAGGAATTAAATACTAATCATACAATCAGATAACTTAGTGTTATTGAATTTTTCTACGTCGACAAATAAAATAATTGTTAGATTTTTCAACGTTGATACTAATAAATTAAATAATAATAATAACAACAATAATAACATCAATAACAATAATAACACAGCATTTGAAACTAATATGTTAAACATTAGTCCATGTATTAGTTCAGGAAGCATACATACAGCAACTGCTCAAACTACGCAGAATTCGCACGTCTATTGACTGGCATTGGCGGAAGATCATGGTTTGATCAAAGTACAGCGCTCAAAGTGAGATATAGGGCATATCAAATGTCACATGAAGCAAGCAGCATCAAGGCATTCCCAATAACCCCCCCCCTTCCTAGTCACCGCCCCCACCACCGCTCCAACCTCGACGCAGTCTCCTCCACCGGACCCGTCTCGCTCCACCCTCACATCCACCCCAACTCCATTCCCCGCCATCGCCATCATCACCGTCACCTTCTACCGTCACCGTCACCGTCACTCTCACCGCACCGTCCACCGTCACCGTCCACCTCACCGTCACCGTCACCGTCACCATCACCTTCACCTCACCGTCGCCGTCCCGCGCCGTCGCCCCGCGCGCCGCACGCCCCCACCCCCCTCTCGCCGCCCCAGCCCCAGCCCCAGCCCCAGCCTCCCGTCCCCCTTCCCCTCTCCCCGATCCTGTCCCATGACTGTCCCCGACCCGTTCCCCGACCCTGTACCCACCCCGTCCCCGACCCCGTCCCCGACCCCGTCCCCGACCCCGTCCCCGACCACCGTCCCCGACCCCTCCCACCCGTCCCCGACCCCGTCCCCGACCCCGTCCCCGACCCCGTCCCCGACCCGTCCCGACCTCCCGACCCCGCCGACCCCGTCCCGACCCCTTCCCCCGTCCCCGACCCCGCCCCGACCCTCCAGACCCCGAACCCCACCCCCCTCCTACGCCACCGACCCTTATCCAATCCCGTCCCCCGTCGTCGCCACTTACCACCTTCAATGTCACCGCCAGCGCCAACTCCCACGCCATTTCTGCCGCTGCCGCTGTCACTCTCTCCACAGTGATCACCATTACCGGCTCAGTCCCTGTTCTTATCTCTGCCCCGTCCACACCCGCGCGTTCTCCGCCTCCGCCTCAGAGCCACCCAGATATAGCAAATTCCAAAGCCCAAGGCCCTTCAACCCCCCCCTTCTTCCTCAGCTCCACTCCCTCCGCCGCGCCCCAGACCACCCTTGTTGCCCTGGTACCTCGGCAGAGCGTGCCGCGACAGGTGTCCACGCCATCGCTCCGCCGCGTTCCGCACTGTGCCTGCCGGGCGGCGGGGCCGCGCACCACCGCCTCTCTGCAGCAGAGCAGGCACGGGTGACGTGACGCGATGGGGCGGGCGGGGCAAGCGGCGAGGATACCCGGTGGCGGGTCCGAATGCAAAAATGGTGGAGGAGGTAATGAGGCAAAGACAAATGCTGTATAGGAGGGGTGAAAGTAGTTAGCGTAAAGAGATCTGTAATAAGGGAGTTGTGCGTGCAGGTGCGTCTGTGGCGGGGCGTGCGTCTGCGGTGGCGGTGGCGGTGGCGAAGTAAATGGTGGAGGTGGTAAAGGCAAAGTCGAAGATGGTGGTAGAGGAGGTGGTGAAGGCAACGGTGAAGGTGGTGATGGTGAAGGAGTTAGTGAAAGAGGTTCTGGAGAAGGAGGAATTGGTGAAGGAAATGATGAAAGCAACGGCGGAGGAAGTGGTAGTTAAGTAAACAATGAAGGCAATGGTGGAAGACGTGGTGGTGAAGTAGATATTGAAGGCAACGATAGAGAATATGGTGGTGAAGGATATAGTGAATGCAATTGGTGCAGGAAACTGTAGAGGAAATGGTTGAGACATTGGTGAAGTAGATGGCTGCTGATGAATAGAGACCAGATTTTTATGTAATTAAATATTTTGTCTTTATAATAACCGTTCTCAAAATTATAATATAGGTAAATTGCCGTCTAAACAGAATATTAATATTTTTGTTACATATGTTTTACATATTAAGCACTATATAACATAGTTTACATATTTGCTTATTTTCACAAAATATTTTTGATTCCATCAATTTTCTTTAATTTTTATACATTTTTTGAAAAGAAGTATTTTAAAAAATATGCTTTTTTCCTTCACTATTATTACGTGTTGTCTACTCCATGTACGTTATGTGAAAACGCAGTCGGATGTCTCAGAGTTCGGCGCGTCTGACTCGTATCTCGGGGCTGGAAGTACGCGTCGGCGACTGAGATCATTTTTACCTTTAGGTGTGAAAAGTATCACTGACGCCGAGTTTCGCCACTTTCAGTCTTAATTTCCGAGAAACTTGGGCGATTGCTGCTGTGTAACACTTCGATGAGAATGCTGCACGCTGGAGTGATCGTATGTATTACCAGTCTGTACGATGGCTTATATTGAGTCTAGTATGGTTGCTAAATTACGGTCCTGAATAACAATAGATGTTGCTTCTGACCAAAAAGTTGAATGGTGCAAAGTGGGCATAAGCTTGTGCCCCCGAATTTGTTTTTAAATCTTTGTATCATTTTTAAAATGTATTTATAATGTGTTTTATAGTTAGTGTATTTTAATATTGCATATTATATCCGATTTTTCATATTTATTACATATTCTTACTGTTTTTATTACATATTTTGACTCTTCTTACTACACATTTTTCCGGTCTCTACTGATGAAGGAGATAGTAAATGTGTTAGTGGCGTAGGCGGAGGCACAACCAGCTGAGATGTCAACATCCATTGCCGCTCCAGCGTTGCCAACCGGGTGAGTTTAGATTTCGAGTTCGGACGGTGACTTTCCGACACTAGATAGCTAGGTCGAATTCAGCCATTGTCTGGACGAGTATTCGAGTGGCCGGCAGATCTGACCAGTAAATTTCCGCGGAGTCTCCGCCAAATACCTGGCGAATATTGGAGCTTCCCCTTAACAAATTAACAAATAGGCCGTAAACTGCGGGCAGTACGCGGTGACGTAGAGGTTGGTAGATGCGGTATCTTAGAAATGAATGAGGCGCAGATGACTTGAGCAGCGAATACAACGAACGTATGAATTGACGTTCAAACGTTTCCTACATAAACATATTTTTTAATTGTGTTGTCAGTGACTAAACAAACGCATAGTAATTAGTCTTCGTAATCCCCAGAAAGAGCATATATCTCGAATATAGCAACCGTTTGATTGATAGATTGATTGATTAGTTGTTATTCCGAGTGCATCAACTTCTAAGTTCATTGTTCCCGTAAGTGTAGTACCTATCTTTTGCTCGGGGAGGGTCTTGTGATCTTGATCCGCTGGATGGTGAGATCCGGCGCCCATCTACCGTCGGATAGTGGGGTTTTCCTGTCAGAAGCACAGCAGGGATATCAATCATGCCCTGAGCCACCTCTCCCGGTCATTTGATTGAACATCCAACCAATGAATCAGTTTTGAAAGATCAAATTCAATTATGCCAATGGATTCTAAATATCTAAATTCATTTAATATTATTGATGAGAAATAATGATGTGCTGGATTCTATAATTTCTATCCTCTCTCTCACTGAGCCTCGTCAACCTCGACCTTTGTCTTTGCCTTCCCTTTGGCCATAAAGCCACAGGCGCAGCGCTCGTGCGTCAACTGCCAAAACAACGTGCCAACTCTCTGCAGTTCCGCAAGCAAAACGGACTGTAAACAGCGCCTGAAAACACATTTATAGACCGCGATAAGAAGCCACTCTGCCTGGATGGGTAACAGCGCCTTCCGGCTGATACCAAGGGAGCGTCTTTTTAAATCTATGATGAACCGAGCGAGACAACTGACGAGAGTTCGGGAGATAAGGGTAAAGCTATTAAAGCGCTTTCTTAGCGCAAACTGTTTCTGTGTGTGTGAGATCATGCCGACGCAGAAGTTCAGTGCCTCTGAAGAGAGCGGTACAAAATACAATACAAGTAAATGCTTTTACCTTCAATATGTACCCCACTAACAGAGTTTAATTGAATGTAACAAATTAATTCACATATGTTTATAAATTAATTCAAATAATTTTATAGCTATTCCTAAACCTTCTCGCTGCAATACTTTAACGAAAATAATTGAGAAGAAACATAATATTTTGTGAAGTGCATTTATGTCAAATAGTAATTATATTATCATAAATCTGGTCCGAACTGTCTACATTTAAAGAACGTTTCGGAATCCAATAATTCGATAGAATTATGCGTTACCTAAATATGTTATACGTTATTTGTCATCATGAAACACACGGATTAATATATACCTTCTAGTAAACTTTTATTGAAAATATTGTGACGGTCCAACATTCATAATCACGTATATTCCTATGATTAATATCTAGGCTTTCATTACTAACTGACGCGAGTTGGTGCTTGTTCACGATGAAGTTGTTCGAACCAAAATTCCTAATAATGCTCTAGCCAATACTCACCCGTCCACAACCACCATTCGCATGGGTGAAAATAAACACGGCAATGCTTTAATTTCAGCTACTGTCCATCGCGTCCTTTTGCATCATTGCACCCGAGTCCATAGTGTAAATCTGGCGTCGGCCACGCTCCGGTCCGCGCTCGCCCCCAGCGGGAACGGCTCGGGCACGACGCGGGTTGACACAGCGCCCGCAGATATTTGTCAATAATAAAAATGACGCGCGCGCGGCGAGGGCGAGGGCGAAGAGACAAACGACGCGGCAGATAAATGTGCGCCGAGCGCCACCCACGCGCAGAGGCGGCGACGCGCAGTAGTCGGGTTGGCGCCCGCCACGCCCACGCGCCCACTTTCATGCCGCCCCCGCACCGCTTTCTGCTACCCTTGAACCACCCCGCCACCATCCCCGGGCGATGCTTCGCGACGTCTCGTTCAGCTGTCCTTCGCCGCCCACCACCGCACCAACTTCGCACCACTTTGCGGCGACTTGCTCTGAAATCCATTACCACTTGTCATCTCGCACAACATCAAGCACCACTACGCGCTACCATGCACAATTATATAACGTCACCAGACAGCACATATAACTTTTCACCATCACCAATCGCTACGCAAACCTATACTTCACGAAAAACTATGTATCTCCACGCACAACTATGCACTACCACACACAGCTATGCACCGTCACCGACCTTCACGCACAAACGAAGCTCCGCCACGCACACTCCACGCACCGCCAAAACACCACCACGCACAACGAAGCATTTCCACGCGCAACTGGGCACCGCCAAGCACACACACGCACCTAATGTAATAGGATTGATAATGATTTTTGCAAGTGATAGACGAAATGCGTTTATATGAACAGACATCCAGGTATTTTAATCTCGGTAACCGTTAGTGAGTCGAGAAGATACGTTCTGTTAAAGCACTAGTTTTAGATTACAGTATAAAAACCATCATTCCTGATCCAGGAACATGGAGATCTGCTTTAAGGGTCAATGACTCCTTGTCTCCCAGGGATGCGCGATAGTATGCTGTGCTTCACTGAAATGTGTGTCGCGGGTTGCATGCTCAAATACCGTTTTCGTATCATAGTCTGGAAACATTTACTTTCGCTTTGAACCTGTTTGATGCAAGTATGAAAACAATTTCTTAGCAATTAGTAGAACATTTACTTACATTACTTAGATTACAAAGGTGACCTGTACCACGCATTATGGAAGTTTTGTGTTTAGTACATTACTTCTAAAACAAAGTGTAGTTATAGTCCATGTTATGTGGATCCTTGATTTCGAAAACTCGATTGACGGCAAAACGTATTCGCCATCGATTCTAAGAAACTAAAGAGTCTGGGAGTTTGAACCATATGTTTATTTACGGGGGTATTGTACATCAAATCTCTATGAAGTTTTTAAAAGTTCTCATAAAAATAGTTCCAAATTTTGTTTAATTAACGTTGTCCTTGGATAGCATAAAAGACACAAAATAATGTCACAGGTCTCATTTCGTTGAAATCCCTGATGTATTGAAAATTACAAAACTTCAACATCTTTCGGCTTCATCCTACAACTAC